CAAACCTTCTAAAATGTTCGTTGACAATATCTCACTGTAGCAGGTGTGTCTGTGATATTGTATGTAAAAAAATATCTCTCATGATGTAAATAAGACATGTATTATTACAGTTCTTTTGCTTTCCAAAAAAGTATGCTTATTCAAATATATTTTACTTTATAGTTACATAATACAAATTTAGCAATACTAGTAACTTTTTTTCTAGCTAAAATGTTGCCAATGGAATCTGTATATATGTATGTGTATGTGTATGTGTGTGTGCATTTTACACACACACATACGTATCAAGCCTTTGAATGCATCAAGTAAATTCAAAACAGATTACAAGAAAATACACACAAGTTGAATTTATTTGGAAATGAAATAACTTAAAATGCCTGCTGTGAAACAATCATTAGAGTATTTTGAGCTGTATTCTTTGGTTCAGTTTTGCTCACAATACCTAACTCACTATAAATTTACTCACATTTCCTTTAATTTAATAACATTTACTCATCCCCATCATCCCCTGCCTTTGAAATAAGTGAACCACAAACTTTTGATTATAATCTTGTAGCCATAGAAAACTTGGAAAATATAATCTCAATTTAAAATTAACTCTTTCTCTTTACATTGGAAAAAAAAATATTTGAGTTGCATACCTTCTCTGAACCACAGGTGATATTTCATAAGTTTAAAGCACATTTTTTTAAAAAAGAGTACTTTTTCAAATAATTTTCCATGCCTTCATTCAGCAGGTAACCCAAACCTTCATAATCCCCAAATGCTGCACTTCAAAGTTTTGCTCAGGAAAAAATATTGAAAAGAACAGCCTCTCTTTCCAGTTGATTTAAAACATCACTAGCTTATTTTCAGTACACATATGGAGTTACTTTTAAAAAGAAATCTTGGAATATTGCCAGACTACATCCAGGAAAGGCTTTTCTCCAGAGAGAGCTAAAATTCATTATCTGAGGTTTGGGACACCCATGTTCCTTCAAAATTTGGACACATCTTTGTTCCTTCGTGATTAGTGATAGTAGTTTAAGTTAAAATGAGAAAGTACTCAATGTGTGATGATAGTCTCAAGAAACCAAATTATTATACTGTTTGAACTGATGCTTATTAACAGTTACCTACTTAAATAAAACATCACTTTGCATGATGATCATTTTAGAATATCCTTTAAATCTGATATTATTTATGAAATATAACAGTCCTTATTTGTTTATAAGAAGTATTAAAGTTAAATTTAGGCCCTTTGTTTTCTCTCTCTTTTCCTTAAATGGTTAGCTTCTCTCATTTAAATCTATCTGAAAATTTTATTTCAGGAAAAAAAATCATTAAATCCAAATAATTTGAGGGTAATATAATTATGTTATTATTGTTTTTAGTGAGCATTTCATAATGATAATGTTTAAACATTTTAAACCTTCTTTTTTTATTTTTTATTTTTCTGAGAGGGAGTCTTGCTCTGTCATCCAGGCTGAGATGCAGTGGTGCGATCTTGGCTCTCTGCAACCTCCCCATCCCGGGTTCAAGCGATTCTCCAGCCTCAGCCACATGAATAGTTAGGATTACAGGAGCAGGCCCACAGGCCTGGCTAATTTTTGAATTTTTAGTAGAGAGAGGGTTTCGCCAGGTTGGCCAGGCTGGTCTCAAACTTCTGGGCTCAAATGATCTACCCACCTCGATCTCCCAAAATGCTGGGATTTCAGGCATGATCCACCGCACAGGACCCTTTAACCCTGCTTTTGATGCACAAAATGAAGCTAACGAAGGTGGAAACATTGTTATACATTAAGAAAAATATTAATATCAGCATAATTTCAGTAATAATCAATAACATTTCACTGTGAAATACTACAAAGTGGTAATTATTTTTAGATTTATTACATATTTTTCCCACAGTATATAACACATATTATGGGTTTTTCTGAAAAGGTAGAAACAAAATTCTCATAACTGATGATAAACAGCCTATGAATGTAAGACGAAATTAATATATAGTAATATGAAACAGATTAAGTAAATACAGACCCTGCTCTAAGAGATAAAAGTCTAACATGTGCAGTGAATCCACAAAATTGAATAGAGACTAAGAATATGATTTTTTAAATATCGATTTTATACATACCAAAGAATAAGTGTATTTTGTTATATGCTAAGTAAAGAAGCTAAGGGACTTTATTATCCTCATTTTTAATTAGTCAGGAAAGAAATATGTGGAATTACGAAAACCGCATCAGTGAAGGAAGAGAAAGCTTCGGCAGATTGGAGGTACATTTTATATCACACATAAGCATTACCTATCATGGGAGTTTTTACTTACTTCGTTTTTGTCCACAAAATAGGCATGGACACCTTTTGTATCTGCATAATTTGATAAAATCAGGTATTATGAACTTAACAATGAGTTATTTCAAATGGAACCAAAGCGTAAGCTCTACTTTAAAGAGTAATGGTTGAGCTGGGCAGGATTACTTCTGCAAAATGAATTAGAACACTATGAACTGTAATATATCAGCAATAAGTCTAGCATATTTCAAAACCACAGCTATTGGAGAAATGAGTCTGAATCACTTGAGCATCACAAATCCTAGGCCATATTTTTATTTCCAGCCTAACCCTTTGTGCTGCTTCCAAGTACGCAGCTCCAGTTGATTTCAAAGGCAGTAGATGAGAGATAAAGAGGAGCAAGGATTGTTCTACCTCAGCAATTCGTGATCCCTCTAAGGCCATTGATTTTGAAAGAATATGGAGACCTTGGCGTCTCAGCAGAATAGATCCAGCTACTCTTTTCTATCTACTCCCATGAGGTAGCACAAGCATTTATCCAGTTTACCATAGCAAATGATTCTCCATGTCCCGAAAATTACAACACTCTTCCTCTCTTCACTCTGAGGAGTCATAAAACCTAAATTAAACATGACTGTCCAAAGAATTATTTTCCGTAATGTTAACATTTCAACAAGAGAAATAAATGGAGCATTGTGATTTGAGTATTATCATAATATTAAATATAATAATGTAATATAACATTTAAACATCCTTAATTTAACATTATTCATTTAAAATATTTACTTATTAAATTATTAATTTTAAATTATTTAAATTATTAATATTAAAGTTGTGGTTAAAAAATATTTTATGGGCATAGGGTAAAGTTGTATAGTATATTACTTAAACATGTGTGCTTATAATTCTCAAAATACTTACAGCTTTCTAAGTGATATTTCTTAGACATAAATATGTCCCTTATACATGAATACCTTTTTTTCTTTGAATATTTTCTTCATTCCCATGTAAACAGTGTATGTATGTGCATTTACTTATAAGCCTCATGCAACTATAATGTTCTAGTAATGTGTTTTGGTGTCCAAAATATTTTCAACTAACTTATATAGCTGTGCTAAGATTTGTCAAAATGAACAAATACTCAAAAGACAGCTTTATAAAGCATATTAATTAATGTATCACATCCTTCAAAAGAAGTGACTAAAACAGCTGAAAGGAATAAATTAAGTTAAAAACTTTGGATATATGTAGTAGAAATATCTAACATTAAAATATTGGCTGACTTCAGTCACTATACTAAATTACATACATTACTTTATTTAATTGATGCAAAATCTTTGTGAAATAAGCAGTATTTTGCTCCATTTTACATACTTTAAAATGGAGGGTTAGAGGGGTTTAGAATTATCCAGTTTTAAAGATGGGACAAAGCTGGAACATGGACCCAGGTCTATCTGAATTGAGAATCCTATGGTCTTAAATATTTATATATTTTATCACCTTTCTGTTCTGGTGACATAGTGTCTATGACTAGGAGAATCTTAAGATAAGATATCTAGATAAAGAGTGTGTATTTTAGGATTGCATTTTTGTTTTCAAAAAATGCTTGTTCAATTGAATTTATAAAATATATAATCTTCTTAAATTATTGAGTTCCATTGGTGTCGGCCATGTTCTGAAGGCTAACAAGGATAGCAAAGATGCGGTCAAGGTCCTTGGAGAGCTAGCCCTACAGAGGAGAGGTCAGAAACTTTTTTTGTATGGAGCCAGAGAGTAAATACTTTTCTGGGTCATAGAGTTTCCCAAAACTAATTAGCTCTCTTGTTTTTAGCAAGAAATTTGGCACAGAAAATATGTAAATAAATGATCATGGCTATGCCCCAAGAAATCTTTATTTACAGATACAAAAAATTAAATTTCATGTAATTACCAGGTGTCAATAAACACTATTCCTATTATGATTGCTTCAACCACTTAAAAACGTAAAAATTCTTCTTAGCTTCCAAGCCATATCAAAACAGGTATTGGGCTGGACTTGGCCAGTGAACCTGTGAACCAAGTTTGGCCAACTCCTGTGCAGAATTGCCCTGGCCACTGAGCACTTAAATTTGGCTAGTCCAAATTGAGATGTGCTATAAGTATAAAATATACACCAGATTTTAAAGATTTAGTCTAAAAGATTTCAATGTCTCATTTATAATTTTTATGTTGGTTATGTTTTAAAATAATCAGCTTTTGATACTTTGGGTTAAATATCTTATTACAATAAGGTTCACTTGCTTAGTTTTTTTCCTTTTTGCTCACACACTATCTACACATATTTTTTTTTTTTCTTGAATTGTGCTTAAATTCTTCCCTTCCTCTACCTTTTCTACCACCACTCTCTTATTTCATAATTGATCTCATAGCCTTCATTGTCTCTCCAACACAGATCTTATTTTTTTGTTTTTTTCATGTTTTAAGTCTTCTGGTTCTTCATCACATGACCTTTAGGAGAAGTTTTTGAAAATGAGTTTTTCATATCCAGTGCTTTCTGTCGGGGCACTCTAAGACAGGGAGTTAGAGGAGGGAAAACGTTCTGGCTTCTGAGCTTACTGACTCTACTTCAGTGAGTAACATTCTTCTTATTTTATTTTTTGGACATGGAAGTAAGATTTCCTTTGAAATACTTTCAATCCTTAGAAACTTGGCCAAATATTTCATTCTGGCTTCAAAGTACTTACCAACACAATTTCCCTCCTCTTTCACACCTCCTACAATGAAGCTGTAACAGATGGTAAAATAGGCAATTCTGTGAAGAGAAAAAATACGTAGTCAATTTAGGCTTTGCATAATTGCCCACTTAGTAAATGGGACTATTGGCCAGATCAGGGAAATAAGAAAAAGTTATTGTTGAGAGTGAGAAATATGAAGAAACACTTTTAGAGAGAAATGAAGAATGCTGCTATTCCCCTCTCAACAATTGGAAGCAGTCAAGGGTACTATATCTTTTACCTTAATGCCTTGTTTATTAGTTAGGGTTTTCCTCAGAAACTGAATCAATAGGATGGATAGATAGATAGATAGATAGATAGATAGATAGATAGATAGATAAACAGATAGATATAGATATAAAATATAAACCCTAACGCATATATATTTCTAATATATATAATGTGTGTGTGTATATATACATCAATTTAAAACTGAAACAATAGGATATATATATTAGAACCCTAATATATATATTTCATATATACACATGTAGTATGTGTGTGTATATGTGTGTATTAAACTGAAACTGAACCAATATATGTATATATTTGTATGAATATATATCTGTGAACCCACGCACATATATATGAACCCTATTACATATATATAGTGTGTATATATATGTGTATATACACACACATATATAATATATATACATATATATGTATGATTATATATATGTATAAGAATAATTTTATTAAGAAATTTATTAAGAGAATTGGCTTATGCAAATGTGGAGGCCAAGAAGCATCATGATCTGCAACCTGCAAGCTGGAGAACCAGAAAGGCTGGTGGTGTAATTCAATCTGAGTTTGAAGGCTCAAGATTTAGGAGCACCTATGTGTTAGGGCAGGAGAAGATGACTATCCAGGCTAACAAGGAGAAAGACTTAATTCACTTTTTTTCTGCCTTTTTTTTTTTCTATTCAGCCTTCACTGTGTTAGATGATGTCCACTCACAATGATGAGGGAGAATCTTCTTTCCAAAGCCTATTGATCTATTGATTCAAATGCTAATTGCTTCTGGAAAAATGCTCAAGACATACCTAGAAATAATGTTTTACCAGCCACCCGGGAATTCTTGAGCCCAGTCAAGTTGGCACACAAAATTAATTATTGCACTCTGTGAGGGGGTGTCTCCAGGCTTGTGGAAAATACCTGGTAAGTGCTCTCTAAAACTAAGTGGATCCAGGAAAATTGGACTGGTGCCCAACTCACCCCAGAGAAAGCAGTAAGATAGAGGCGGTGGCATTAATGGCCCATACTCTACACTTATATTCTTCCTTGGAAGAAAGCCTAGGCTATGAAGAGAATTGCAAAGTAAACCAAGAGTGAAACTGAGTTACAGGCAAGAGTGTTGCAGAGCGTGTTCCTTAGAGATGGGCTCTGAATTTCCCACAAATGCCCTCATAAAGGGACAGGTCACATTAACCAAGTCTTAGTCTCAGGGAGTATGAAGCCACCCAGAAAATAAAACCATCTGTTCTATCCCTCAACCTCTCCTGCCTTCTGCCACTTCAACCCTGCTACAAGAAACAAAAGTAGTAAATGGGGAGCATGGACAGGAATACCCTATCTTCTTCCAGGAGCACACTTCCATTTACAGGACTATCATGGCTTAGAGGGAGAAAGAGCTTTATGTTAAGAATAAATACATTGATTGATATCTTGGACTTAACAAATTCTAATTTCTGAATTGGGGTTTTATTTTAGAACTTAAGATCCTTTTATGATTATCTTTTGCTGAAGATCGAGTAACAAATTCAAAGAACATTGTATTTTGATCACAGCTCATAAGCCATGTATTTCATATATCATTTATCCAAAATGTGCTTCTGTCACACACATTCATATTCACATATCACTCACCTTTTAGAAAATACATAATGCATTTCTATTCTTTCTACCACTGTCCTCCAATATATACTCTTTACTGACTTCAGAGAAGATCTCTTATGGTGTCAGAGTGCTTCCAAAACCCATCCGTATCCTCACTTCCCTTATGAGGGACCTTTACTTTCCATACAGGCTTAGTCTCTGTGTCATGAGCATTCACTGAAAACTTGGAGCATGGCTACACCAAAGCCTTTACTTCGTTAGGATGCTGAAAGGAGTAATACATGGTCTTCTCCTCGAAGAGACTCACAGTGAAATGGGAGATGCTTGTAAAATAAAAATCAAAGAGGCTCAGGAGAAGAAAGCATTCAATTTTAACTTTTTGATTTTGCAATTTCCCCCAAAATGGGTAACCAAAATGTCTAGAAAAAACAAAGCCATACTATGTTTAACTTCATTTCATTGTGGTTATTTGTATTGGAATTTTTTTTTCTCCTCTCAAACATAGATGAACCAAAAAAAAAAAAAAAATTAAGCTCAATTTCTCACAAAAGATCGAGGTAGAATAAAATTAAGACACGTCTAACATAGCTGAAAAATCCATATTATTATCCCACTTCCTGAAAAATCTTCTTCTAAAATATTGTTTAGCTCCAATAACAATTTAAGTTCCAATAGGAATTTTTCCTCGAAGAGTTAAATCACTTTGGCAGTTAGTGATAAGCAAAATCGAGATCTAAAAGCACTATGACAAGATCCTTGGTTTTGATTGCTTATACTTTAATTTTATTCTAAATTTTGCATACTCGCAAATTTCCTTGGATGTTCATAGATTAATTAAATTGATTACAGATATTTTAGGAATTCATATGATGCCTACTTTCCAAATTGAGAATAATAATGCTCTAACCAATATAAGTATACATATTTATTATGTCAGTTTTCCTAAAACAATGTTAATCAAAATATGTTTGTACACAGAAACAATAATAGGAATTTCTCAAAATTAAGGAGGAATTACCTGAACCAGTCCATCATAGGCATTTTAGGTTAAGATCCATCAGCCTCTCTTGCTTTCACTGAGCCTATGGGCATTTATATGACTTATAGTTTTTGTTTTTGTTTTTGTTTTTAATTCACAGAAATGTTCTTAAGCAAATAAATAGAACTTCAAGATGTTGCTTCTGCTATAAGGAGCTATCAGTTCAGGTGCTGAGATAGTCTGGAAAATTCTGAACTAAATTATCTGAGATGTCTAAATTTCCAAACCATAAATATTAAGTTAAATATTAGAAAACTGACCTACAAGTATTTTAGTGTTTTGCTTACTAGCTGCTCCCTGAGGCTTACCCTGGGTCTTAAAGATAGAAATGGAATATGGTAGAAGACACATTATTTCTAAGTCTTCCTCAGAATATCTGTTTTCTAATTAATAATAATTAACGTTAAACAAAAATTTTAACAATAATACAATTAAAATTATAAGGGAAATAATGTTCAGTATTTTCTTTGATTGAAAAGATGTTTATTTTTTTATTGACACATATTATGAGAATTGTAACTGCTCAGTATATCTTCTGGAAATGACTTCAAAGACTTTTCAGTTTCACTCTTTTAAAAATGACTAATATAAAAGTATTATAACCAACATAAAACTTAAAGGTGCTCCTACAGAAAAAGTAAGATTTTTCTCTTTGAGCAAATTTTTTATAGAATATTATTCTTCAAAAGCACTGATCTCTTTCCATACCACACACACAAGTTCTATGTATGAGAAGTGCATCGCTAAGGAGATTTTATGTCACATTACTTGCCGTGGAATTAAAACTTTTTTTGACTAACAGAGTATTATAAAGAATATCTTCGGAAATATTGAAATATTATCAAACCACTTATTTTCTTAATTCACTTATCAAATACTTACTGAGCAACCAGTATGTACCCTTAATAATTCCTAGTTACAAGGAATTTAACAGTGAAAAAAGAAAAAAACAAAATTACTGGTCTTCATGGAACTTATATTCTCGCCAAGAATTACAATAATACTCCTTAAGGGAAAACAGTAGCATGACTACACTAAAAAGCATATATTATACATTTTATAATGAAGTTTTCTATTAATATAATATTAGTGTTCTCAGAATGTCAAAAGCTACTTTTAATCATTAGTTACCTTTTTACCTAGTATATGAAAAAAAAGATCTTAGAAACAAACATCGATCTTTGTTATGCGTGTCCTACTCTAACGAAAACCAAAGGAAAGTTTTACAATAATTTAAAGTACCTGAAAAGTTAACTTTTCATAGGCTCAATAATATAAGTTGAAATACTGCTGTGCTGGCGGGCATTCCTGTAATACAATTTCTTTGACTTCACTTTGAGAAAAAGAAACCCTTTTTTTTCCTAAGCACTTCATGTAGCACGTTAATTCAGCATTAATTATAGAACATGTCAAACTGTATTTCAGTCAAAGCTCCCTGTAAGTCTCCAGAGCTTTCTTAATGACAGTAATTATAGGTCATGAAAAGAGTCGTCTAAAATTAACATTTCTCTCATGTCTTGATAGGAAAATGTAAATGGCTGCACAGTACAGATGTTTTGATTAGTAAAATTTACACTTCCTTTTTCGTTTCAATGCTTGTCAAACTTCACAGTGTTAAACGTAAAGTGCCGCATTTCTCATCTCTCTGAGTAGATAAAGGTGCATCAAAGTGGTTGTAGAAATTCTTAAAATACTTTACCTTATTATTTTGTACTGCAATTAAAAATAAATCAACAATTTCTCCTTCAGTAAAGGATGAGCAAAACAAATTATTAGCTTTTAGAAAAATCTGCAAAAAAGTTTAAAGAATTGTATTTAATGGAAATTTATAAAACCGATTTATTAGAATGTAGAAAAACGTCACGCAACTTATATGCTGACTTAAATCTCCTGGTAAACTGTATTTTATCATATAGTATCAGAAAATGCACATAAAGCCTGCTCTGTTCAGAACTGTCAAAATTTACTTACTACAAAATGAGAATGGAAACATTCTGGTTTAAACAATGTTAATATCATCAAACATCCAGGGAAATATAACAAATTAAAAGAGAATCACTTCAAAGAATAAAAGGCCTACACCTTAAGTAATAATAAATCTAATACTTGACATTCATCTCCCTGGAAAATAAAATTAGATAAACTTTTGCAAGGGCATTC